CTTATTATTACTAACTATATTTACCGCCCTTAACCTTATTTACCTTAATTATAGCGTTAATAAGCCTTAAATCGCCTAAAAACATATTTCTATAGTTTCTTTATAATATTATAATATTAAAGGTATATTCTTTCGCTTTAAGGTCTATAAGTTAGGTCCCTTAACTATATTAAGTAGGCTCTAGGCATAACTATAGTTATAGTTATATAGCTAATATAACCTCGTCTTATAAGGCTAAGGTAGACATAGTTAATAATGCTATTAAAGTAGTTTATAATATTATAGACTAGGCTCGAGTAGCGGCATTATAGAGAGGTATTAGCCGTAATATATTATATTATATAGTATTTAATATATCATATTAAAATAGTAGCTATATAATTAAGCGCTTACGCTAACCTATACTTATATACTTTATTTATCTATAGCGGACTAGTTAATATATAATTAATTAGAAAAAATATAGACTTAAGGTATTTATATAATAAGGGTTTTTATCCTTTATAAATAGTATTACTCCTTTAATAATATATATTAAATTAATTACTTTAAGATATTATTTTTTAAGCTATAAATATTATAGATTAAAAGATTATTATTAACTTTACTTTTAGCTTTATTAATAATAAAAAAGAATATTATTTTTAATAATTTATTAAAAAGCTTAATAAACTTTATAAAAGCTTTATTATATTTACTTTAAAAGTTATAATAATTAATAAAATATAAACTCTTTAAATAATATTTATAAAAGTCTTTTTTAATATATAATAATAGCTATATATATATTACTTTATAATTAATATTTAAGCTAAAATTAACTTTTATTAAAAAAATAAAAAAAGTAATAATAATAATAACTTTAATATTATTATTAATAATAATATTAATAATTTATTTATAAAGCTATTAAACTTTAAGCTTAATTTCGATCTTAAAGGCTATAAATATATATAATAAAAAATAAAAAAAAGTATCTTAAATTTAAGCTTAAATAATAAAAAATATAGCTATAAGGGTATATTTAAGGCTTTTTAAGTTATTATTTATATTATTAATTATAATACCTTTAAAGATTTATAAAGATACTTTATTAAAACTTTTAATTATTATTAAAAATATATCTTTTAATACCTATAAAATTAATATATATTATAATATAAATAATAAATAAAGTATTATATTAACTATTATTATAACTTTAATTAAAGAATTAATAGCTTAATTAAGATTATTTATATAAATATTAAATCTTATTTTATAATAAATATATTAAACCTTTATTACTTCTATAAAGTATTATAAATAATAATTAAAAATAAAGTTTATTTATATATTTAAAAAAACTATTAAATAGCTTTAAAAGTAATAACTTTAATATATTTATTAAGCTTAATTAAATAAAGTAAGTTAATAACTTATTTATTTTATTATTAATTTTTTTATTAAATAATATTATTTTACTTTTATTATAATATTTAATTAATATAAACTTTAATTATTAAAGGCTTATATAAATAACTTTAAATATTAATATAATTTATTTTATAATTATATAATTTTTATTTATTTTATTAAAGATTAATTATTTTATTATTATTAAATTATTCTTTATTAATAGCTTAAAAAGCTTTTAATTTATCTCTTTATATTATAAAATACTTTATTTTTAGGCTTATTTATTAATTATTTATAAAACCTTAAAAATAATTACTTTAATATTTATAACTTTATTATTATAATTAATAATTATAATTAATTATACTTTAATATTATTAATAAAAAGCTTAAGATTTTTTAATACCTTAAAATTATTAATAATAATATTATTATTAATAATATTAATAATAATAATATTAAAGTTAATTTTATATAATAAAGTTAAGCCTTAAAGTAAATATATATATAAAGCTTATAAAAAACTTAAAGTAAAAGTAAAGATAGAAATAAAGCTTAAAGTTATTAACTTAATTAAATTATTAATTAAAGTATTGCTATTTATAAGGCTATATTCTATTATTTATAAGGCAACCTTATTATCTACCTTACTCTCCTTAACGTTAGCCCGCGTTACTTAATTTTAATATATTTATATAAGTTAAGTAAGAAGCATTACGATATCTTAGTTATATTAAGTAGTTATAATATAGTACCTACGCTATAGCGTTAGTAGGGCTTTAATCGCTTAAAAAACGTATTCTTATAGTTTCTTTAAAATATTATTATATTTAGATATATATTATTCTATTCTAGATCCTTCCGCTAGGCTAGCTAGCGCGCTTATAACTATACCCTTATTATTACCGATTATATCTACCGCCTTTAACCTCGTCTACCCTAGCTATAATATTAATAGGGCTTAAATCGCCTAAAAAACATATTTCTAAGGTTTCCTTATAATATTATAATATTAAGGGTATATTCTTTCGCTCTAAGGTCTATATATTAAGTCCCTTAATTATACTAAGCTCTAGGCATAATTAAGGTTATAGGCTTATAGCTATATAGCTAGGATAACCTCGTCTTATAAGGCCGAGGTAGATATAGCCTATAATGCTATTAAGGTAGCCTATAATGCTATTACTATAGTTTATAATACCGTTAATATAATTCATAATATTATAGACTAGCTATAAGCTATAGCGCTATTACGAGCCTAGTTATAGCTATCTTATAATTCCCTTATAGTCTATAACCTTTTTAAGGCTAGCTATAATACCTATAAGCTCTTTAAAGCTAGCTATAATACCTATAATACCTATAATAGCTATAAGAGCTCGTCTTCGAGCTCGAACTATAAGTAGTTATAGTAGATACTTAAGTTTAAGGGTTAGGTCCCTTAGCTTAAAGTCTAATTAAGTTAATAGCTCCGAGCCTTACCCTTATCTCTACCTTAGGTCTCTTATAAGCCTTATATATATATTTACCTCGAGGCCTAGCTTTATTATATAAAATCGGCTTTAATATTATTATCGTTAGTATCGTTATCGGTATTATTATTAGCGATTTTAAGGTATTAAAGGATTTTAAGCTTTTTATTAGTAGTATTAAAGCGCGGCTAGCTATAGCTATTAGTTATAACGGTAAGATTATAGATATTAAGGTAGTTACTTCTACGGTCTTATTAACGGTTAGTAAACGGGCCTAAAAGTAAGGTATTTAATAATAATATAAGGAGAGCGTTTAGTAATAATATAAAGAGATAAACTAAGGGTCTTAGTTTACATTAAATATTTAATATATAGCTATATAGACTATATAGAAAGATATAAAAAATATTTTCCTATATAATATATATAAATATAATATATAATATATTTTATAAATATATATATATATATTATATAGCTATCTATTTAAAAAAACATTACTTTTAGGTATAATAAGAGGGTCTATAAGAGCCTCTTATATTACTAAAATATAATATATAGCTAATATATAGCTATATAGGCTATATAGAAATAGATAAAAAATATATTACTATAAAGTCTATATAGATAAATATTTATTTAATATATATTTATTTTTATATATATTAAGTAAATATTTATCTAGAAACTTTATTATAGCGGATAGTCTATTAAACTAGCAGGCAATCTATTATACCGCCGGATAGTCTATTAAACCGATTTTTACTATTTTCGGCTAGACTTAAGGTCTTTAGTCTAGTATAAGGTTAGCTACGCTATATAGAGCTATATTTAGCTATATTTAGCTATAGCTACGCTAAATAAAGCTAGATTTAGCTCTTTTTAGCTATAAAGGCTAGTATTAAACCGATAGAGAGACTATTAGACTGAAGGCTAGGTCTTCTTAATTATATATAAGACCTTTCCCTCTTAGTCTAGAGAGATAAAAAGATTAAGTAATTTAATACCTTTATTATCTCTTCTATCTTATTTTACTATTACCTTTCTTATCTCTTATATCCCTATTTCCCTCTTCTCTCTATCTTTTATTGCCTTTATCCCTCCTTCTTATAGGTTATAAGCCTAGGTTAGCTATATCTATAGGAAATAGGTCTCTTTTTATCTTTTATACCTAAATTTAACTATCTTATATTTTTTCCTACCTTCTTATTATAGTAATTACTTTTTTATATAGGAAAGTAAGATATCTTCTATCTTTATTAAAAAGATTACCTTTCTTAAGCTTAAAGGGTCTAGTAACTATACCTTTTAGGCCTTACGAGCTAAGGCTATATTTATTAAGGAAGGTCTTTAGACTATTATTTCCCCTTTTAATACCTCTAGCCCTATTAAGCTAGACGAATTAAAAGATAAGGCTTTAATTATTATTAAGTTAATACTTAAAGATAGACTATTAGTCTAAATATAATATAAAAAGACTATTAATATAGCTTAGCTAGCCTTAAAAGAGCTATATAGCCTTAAAGGCTTTATTAATAAATTCCTTATTATAAAGGAGTTTTTTAATTTAACCTTAATTAAATATAACTCTATAAAAGAGTTTTTAAATAAAGTTAAAGAGCTAATTAATTAATTAAAGGCTAAAAAGCTAGAATTACCTAAAACGGTAATAATAGCTTAGGTCTTAAATAACCTAATAGAAGACTATAAAAGTATTATATTTAATATAACCTAAAGTCTTTATAATAACCTATAAGCTTATATATTAGAGACCTTATTTACTAGCCTTCTCGATAAATTAAAATACTTATATATAAAAGATAATAGCTATATTAATAGCTATACCTTTTTAATTAGGAAAGGGGCCCCCTATAAAGGCTAGGCTAAGGCTAAGAATAGATTTAAAGCCTAAAAAGGGAAATATTATATTTATTATAAGCTTTCTAGCTATAAAGCTAGGAATTATTATTTCTTATTCCCTAAAAAAGCCCTTAAGTCCTAGAAATTAAAGGATAATTTAAATAGAGTAGTCCTATTTTCACATACGCATTTCTCTATTTTCACACACGTCACACAGCCAAGACCGGGCTACAGTGCCACACTGTCAGGCTCCCAGCCCGGCAGCCCGCGATGGCTTCAATTGCGCTGCAGCCCGCGCAGCCCAGCAGCCCGCGATGCCTTCAATTGCGCTGCAGTCCGCGCAGCCTAGCAGCCCGCGATGGCTTTAATTGCTTGCTGCAGCCCGGCAGCCCGCGATGGCTTCAATTGCCTGCTGCAGCCCGGCAGCCCGCGATGCCTTTAGTTGCTGCAGCGGGCTACGTGCGCAGGCCGCTGGAATGGCACTGTAGCACCCCGGCAGGCCTATTTTTAGCGCTCGTGATAGGGGCTCTTAGTGGCTATACGGGCCTTAGCAGCGGAGTTATATAAAAATAGAGAAATGCGTATGTGAAAATAAGACTACTCTTTAAATATAGAATAATAAAAAGACTAATAAGATAAAAATATAGCTATTTTATTAACTAAATCGTTTTTATAACCTTCTTTAGATTTTAATATAGAATTAGATCTTAATATAAACTATAAAAACGACTTTAAAACGCTTAATATAAATACGCTAGTATATATAACCCTAGAAAACCCTAAAAAGCCTATACTTAATATAATTTATAATAACCCTATAGGGAATGCTATAAGAGTTATCTTTAATATAGGAGTTAGTAAGTATATTATATATAATAGAGACTATTTTTCTAGTTTTAACCCTTATAATAAGACTATATCTTAGGAAAAAGTAAAGACTATACTTATTAAAGGGACTAATTATATACGAATTTAATTTAAAGACTTAAAAACTAATTATATATTATATAACTACTTATATATACCTTAATTAAGCTATAATCTAATAAGTTAAGCTTAATTAAGTAAAAATACCTATTCTATATACTATAAAAATAAGGTTATTATATATAATAATAATAACTATAGTCTTCTTACTATAGGATATCTATATAATAATCTATATTATATAAATATATATATAAAACTATTAAAAAGGGATATATCTAATATTAATATACCTAATTATAATATATCTAATATAACTAATAATAATTTATTATAGTATTATAAGCTAGGGTATATAGCTAATTTAAATAAATTAGCTATTTTAGGACTAGTTAATATAACTAACCTAGAAAAGCTATATAAAGTCTACCTTAAAGGTAAATTTACTAATATAATAAATAAGGTATCTAATAGTAATAGTAATATAATAGGCTATTTAGATAAAATATATAATAATATATATAGCCTTATTACCTTAATAGGATATAATAATAATAAATATTATATAATATTCTTAGATAAAGTAACTAGATATTTAGCTATAAAGCTATTAAAGGCAAAGAGCGATACCTTTATTGCTTTTATTAAATATAAGTAGTTAGTTAAAAATAATAACTATAATAGAAAAATAAAAATATTAGCTATAGATAATAAGACTAAATATATAAATACTAAATTTAATAACTATCTATTTAATAACGGTATTATATATTAAAAATTAGCCCCTTATAGCCTTAAGTAAAATAGGCTTACCGAATAGATTAATAGGACTATATAGAATAAGGCTAGATACTTACTAAAAATAGGTAGCCTAGATAACTAGCTATAGGAAGAAGCTATATTAATTATAGTATATTTATATAATAGAAGCCCTTATAGCTCTATAAATAATAAAACCCCTTATAAGGCCTTATATAATAAAAAGCCTAATATAAGGCATATATATATATTTAGCTCTATAGCTTACTATAAAAATAAGACCCCTATAAATAAACTAGATATTAAGGTATATAAAGGAATATTAATCGGCTATATTAATACTAATAACTTATATAAAGTATATAACCCTATAAAGGCAAAATATATATATATTAAAGATATAAAAATCCTAAAAGGGCAATACTATAATACTAACCCTATAACTAATATTAATACTAACTTATTAAAAGTTAACCTTTTAAATAATATCCTTATATATAATAAAGAAAAAATAAATAAAATAAATAATATAAATAAAATAGATAATATAGATAAAATAAATAATATAAATAATATTAATAATAATATAAATACTATAAATAATACCTATAATAGCTAATTATTTAAAACTATAGATAAAAATAGCTTTATAGATAAATTAGCTCTTATAATAAATATTAATAACGAGCTTAATACCTATAAGTAAGCTATAACTAGCCTTAATATTAATAATTAATATATAGCTATATAAAAGGAAATAGACGAACTAGAGGCTTAATAGACTTAGGACTTTATAGACCTTATACTTAATAGAGCCCCTCTTAAAGGCCGCTAGGTATATAAAATAAAATACGATAACGCTAATAACCCTATATATAAAGCCTATTAGGTTATAAAGGGCTTTAACTAAATAATAAGCTTAGACTATTTAAAGACCTTCTTTAATATCTATTAACCTAAAAATTATAGATTTATATTTATATTAACTTTATATAATAGCTAGCCGTTATTATAATATAATATAAAAAATACCTTTATATATATTAATATAGATAAAACTATATATATAGAATACCCTATAGGCTATATAAAAGACCCTAATAAAATATATAAGTTAAATAAAGCTTTATATAGTCTTAAATAGTTACCTAAGCTTTAGTATTAATACCTATTAGCTATATTTAAGACTAAAGGGTTTTCTATTTTACTATAAGATAAGGCTATATTTATAAATAATAGTCTATATATTATAATAATATATTATATTAACGATTTAATTATAATTAGGTTTAATATTAATAATATAACCTATATAACTAATAAATTAAAAAATAAGCTTAAATTAAAGGAATTAAGCCCTATAAAGGAGTTCCTTAAGATAGAAATAGACTATAATATTAAAAAAGGCTATATAGCTATAAATTAAAATAAATACCTAGAAACTATAAAAACCCGCTATAATAAAAATAAACTAAATCCTATTTCTAGCCTTATAGAACTAGGGGTTAAATTAGAACCCTCTTAAACTTAAGCTATAATTAACGAAATAACCTTATATTAATAATAAGTTAATAGCTTATTATATTTAGCCTTAAGAACTAGGCTTAATATAGACTATACTATATTTTATTACTCTTAATATATTAATAACCTTAATATAACTTATTATAAGGCCCTAGACTATATCTAGAAATATCTAAACTATTATACTATATTAAGTATATACTATATTAATATATATATTAATTTAAATAGCCTTATATATAATTATAATAGTTATAGCTTTATTAGCTATTTAGATATCGATTAAGGTAGCGATATAATTAATAGAAAATTAATATTAAACTATATAACTATATTAAGAAATAATATAGTTAGCTAGAATAATATATAATAAAAGTTAGTTTCTATATTTAATTATAAATCAAAATATATAGCTATAAGCGAGGTAATTAAAGAACTTATATATTTAAATAACGTATATAACTATATAAATAACGCTATATAGCTAAATTTAGCTATAAATATACCTCCCTTACTTATAGATAGCTAAGGAGCTAAAAAATTAGCTAAAAACCCTAAATTCTATAAAAGAACTAAATATATAAATATTAAATATTACTATATATAAAAGGAGATAGTTAATTATAAGCTCTAATTAGCTTATATAAATATTAAAGACTAATTAGCCGATAGCTTTATTAAAGGTCTTAATATTATTAAGTATAAGGCCTTTATATATAAACTAGGGCTTAAATAACTATACTTATTATATCTAAGCTCTTTATATAACTATAACGAGCTTAAGGGGGTATCTTAATTTATATTAAATATTTAATATATATAATAGGGCCGGCTCTAGTAAGTAAGAGCTAGTTAGCTTATTAATATTAAACGTACTATAAGGAGGTAAAATAGGGTTATATAGGCTAGCCGCCCTTATACCTATAGTACCCCTTTTCCTTACGTAGCGCCCCTTTCTACCTTATAGCGCTATATAACCTAGCGGGTAGCCCAGGCCGAGCCTAGGCTCGGACCCTAGGGACTAACCCTTAATATTACCCCTTTCCTCCCTCCTACGTATAGCTATAAGGGGCCTCGCCCTTAAGGGCGCGTAGCTATTATAAAATAGTATAGATCTAGGTAGAACTATAAGTAAGGCGCCCTTAATGCTTAGAACGGGGCGTAATTATTGCTATTTATGCTAGCTAGGCCGTATATAGCTAATAATAGCTACTTAATTAAGAGTTAATTTATAGGTTACTACCCTTTATTAAATAAGAGAGCTATATAATAGCTATTTAGCTAGTATATTTATAATCTATATAATTAATAGCTAATTTAATATACTTATATAAAAGAGGCTTTCCTTTATATTAAGAAAACGTCCTTTCTTCTTTTAGTATTATTATTTCTATATCGTTATTATTATTATTATAGCCTTACCGCTATTATAATAATAATAATAATAATAATAATAATAATAA